AATGTGAAAGGTTGGATGTATTGTAACTTGTCTCGTGCAATGTGGAGACCTAGACATTCTAAATCGGCAAGCAGACTGGGTATTGCAGCCTGTAAAGTATTGTGAGATTTGTGTGCTAGCAGTATGTTGTCCATATAGTGGATGACAATTAGGTCCTTGGGGATGTTGGTTAAGGCCTTATTAACATATAATTGACAGATTGTGGGGCTATTTTTCATACCCCGTGGTAGTACCTTCCATTGGTATCTCTTGGTGGTTCTTTGAAAGTTGGGCTCCCGTACTGTGAAGGTAAAGTGAGGTCTATCTTGTTCTGCTAGGGGAATTTGGAAGAAACAATCCTGGATATCAAGTACTACGATATGATGGGATGGGGGGATAGCTGTAAGGTATGGTAAGCCCACTTGTAGCGAGCCCATCTTTTCCATCTGGGCATTGACTTTTCTAAGATCTTGGAGAAGTCTGTATTTCCCCGATTTCTTTTTAATAACAAATATTGGGGTATTATGTTTACTGAGAGAGTGCTCGATGTGGCCAAGACTCAATTGTTCAGCTACCAAATTTTTGAGGGCAGGTAATTTAGGTTCTATTATAGGCCAGTGGTCCACCCAAATGGCATCATTAGAGAGCCAGGTGATGGGGAGCGGCTTGGGGGCCAAGATTGGAGTCAATCCTGGGTGGGCAGTGGCCGTTAGGATTGGGAGTGTTGGGCAAGGTGTTGTCCTTTCCCTGATAGTCCCAAGTTATTGTGGAACATGATCTCATCATAAAAGGCATGGTCATCTGTGGTAAGGACTGCACCCACATCCTCTAGGACGTCTTGGCCCCATAAATTACAGGGAACGTCTGCTACTATGGGGGTAACTCTGCCCTGGTTCCCATACTGGACGTGTGACCAGCTTGGTTGTGTGCCACCAACTCCTTTTATTGGTGGGCCTGGCCGGTATTTCCAATGAGGGAATTTAAGGGATTCAGTTTCTGATATAATGATGACATCAGCCCCTGTGTCTACCAGGCCATTTATGGCAGTTCCATAGGAACAGGGTCATTACTGGGGAGTGGTTGAAGATTGGGAGAGTCCATAATATTTGTCTCATTTCCCCTCTTGTGGGTAGGGCTGAGGGGGTGCCCTGGGTGGAGTTTAAGGGAGCCGAGACTGGTTGAGGCTGTGACCTAGTCTTTAGCCCAATGGAACCCTTTTTTGCACTTGGGGCAGCAAGTCTTGGGGCAGGCTGTATCTCTTGGGTAGTGGCTACCCCACAGTTCCAGGAGCCTTCCCATGCGCCAAAGTGGGTGGGCTTTCCTTGCGACAAAAGTCTCCAAGGAGGCGGTCAAAGCCTCAATAGGGCCCGCCCTGGGGTCTAAGTCTCTGGTAGCGAGTACCCATTTGTGAATGTTATCACTGTGGACAGGCACAATAGCATTACAAGTAGGGGTGTTTAGTCCCTCCCAAGTTAACTGTTTGATAAGCACCTCTCGGGTGGGTCCAGACTCTACCCTCCGCTCTACTGCCTTGGTGACATGGGTAAGGAAGTCTGTGAAGGACTCCCGACTGTTGAATCAAATTACGGAAAAAGACCTGTGGGTCACGGGGGCAGCAACATTTAAGGGCCTTAAAGGCCAAGTCAGAAACTTGTTGGAAATAGGCATGGAGGCCAACAGTAGACTGGGAGATGGGGTCAGTATATTGTCCACGTCCCGTGAGCATGTCCAACATAACGTAGAGGACATATTGGAGATTTAGATGTGCCTGTTTTTCAGCCTGATCATCATAGGCTGCGCGCCAGTTTAGAAAGACTGAGGGTTCTAAGACTGCCTTTAGTAAGTTATACCAATCAGTGGGTTTGTAAACGTAAGGACCACTGGCGAAGAACCTGTTCAAAATATGAGTCAGGGCCTGCTTAGCTGCCTTGTGGATAAGAACGAGTGTTGGGAGACCTCTGTTATGCAAAAGTCGAAGCCCCTTCACACCGGACAGCTCATGCAGCTCGGGGAATGTGCCGCGGGCTCCTTTTCATAGCAAGGTGCTTTCTGGCATCTTTCCTGTCTCTCCCTTTGAAGTGGCCGCCACAGATGCCTTGACATAAACATGGCCTTTGGCTCTATGCATACCATGCCTTCCTGTGTGTGATTTTTACAGGTAGACAATAGTCTAGCAGAAACCCACTTCCACATGTAAATAGAATATCTCACAAAGTATCTAAAAGCTTTTACCACTACCCCCATGGTATATAAATATGCTAGTCTTCTCTTAATAGTCGGAGATCAGGTCAGAGACTGGGACCAGGAGATCAGGTCAGAGACGGGGTCCCGGAGATTGGGTCCCAGAAAGCTGGATCAGCAGAGAGCTGGACAGCAAGGAGCAGAGATACAATAAAGCAGTAAACACAGACTAAGCCGTGCCTTGAGTCCTGTGTCTTACTACCGGCGACCTGATCTCACCGGAGAGCAGCACTCTCCGTTACCGACCCACGGATATCCTAGCTTTCGCCGCCTCCGTGTTTCTTCCCTGTGGAGTTCACTGGCCAGGACTCCGCAATCCTGAGGAAGGGCACAAGGGTGTAATAGAGGCGGGATCCCGACTAGATAATACTCTAGTAGCAGAAGAAGCTCTCCGCTCCAGAGAAGTGTGTAGCTATCAGCTACAGCCAGCATCAGAGAAGTCTTTACACCTGCCGTCTCCAGAGAGGCGTAGCCGGCCAGGCCCGCCAGCCGCTAGCTAGCCAGCGGGACCAGAACCACGGCGGGAGAGTGCACGCACACCTGACCCTGGGCCACATCCAGAGTGAGTGCGCCCGGGAGCCCAGGCGCACTCCCCACATCGCCTGCAGCCAGACTCACGCCGGGATTAGCCAGGTGTGGCGGAGACCCCAGGGTGCCCGCACACACCACGCCGGGGGTCAAGCGACCCGCCCCATAAATGAGGTCAGCAAGTGGGGTGGTCAGCCATGGACACTGCACTGCATCAGGGCCAATGTTAACTGGAAATGCGGACAAAGGTGGGTGTTTAAGGAGGGCAGCCTAGGAGGGAGGGGCATGGTACCAGGGGAATTTCTGGGCATGGTAGCTCTAGGAGAGTATCCTGAGATATAGGCAAAGAAGCTCTTTCCTTATTGTAAGTGGGCACAGAGGCAGCATCCACCTCCGGGTCCGGGAGGTCTGGGGTCGAGGTAATAGCTAGATCTACACTAGATTGCTCCCGGCAGTGTTTGTTGTGGGCCGAGATGACTTCCTCAGGAAAGGATTTAAGGCTAGAAATGATGGCTAGGAGGATTGGTACGAATGATGCAGGGGGAAGTGATCCCTGACCCAACCTCCCTTTTTCGGGCCAGGAAGAGGACCTGCACCCACGTGTCAGGGTCCCATGTGTTTTCAGGGGAGACCCATGGAGCTAAATTAGTGGCTTCATCCCAAAAGTGTTCAATATCTTTTGGTTTCACTTTCAACCCTCTGGTTTTAAGGAGCACCTTGAGTGCTGCCGTTTGTGGTTCCCTGCATTGTAGTGGTAAATTGCCCACTGTGGGAGGGTCTCGCAAAGGGGAATTCACCACAAAAGTAGAAGACAAGGGTGACTACCAAGAGGGCACAAAGAAAGCAAAGAAGCACTGTGAGCCACTTGGGTGTAAACCGCCCTGACATGTAAAGGTGTATTGGATCCAAATGTCTTGTGCTCAGTGAGGGACTTCTGGAGGCCGTGACACCTCCAGCCATATGCTCACATACTATCTCCAGGACAGGCAACAGGGTGACCTGAAGCCTGGGCTCTGAGTTCAGGGTGGATCAGCCCTTATGTGAACTCACCAGGACGAGCTGAGAGGGGGGAGGTGCAGATGTGGGCTTCGGGACCACCTGGCAGAGTGTGCCTTCCTGATCTAACGAATTAGTCCAGTAATAAAGATGACAGACAGGGTGGAGGGGACAGAGGAGGGGGCTACTTGCTCACCCTCGAGCAGCCAAAGAAACAGACAAATCCAGGGGCCTACTTACCAAATGAACCAAGGTTCTGGGTGTCGCCAACACCGTGAGCAGGGGTCCCTGTTCAGGCGCCAAGTGGTGCAGGTTCTCCTCAGGCCAGCTGTGAAGACCCTGACCTGGATTGGGTCCCCTGCCAATTGGGGGGGCAAGAGGCGCGGAGTCAACACAGACACCGGGAGTCAGGAAGAAGCAAGCACTAGACGAGGTGCTGCAGGCTCGTTTAATGCAGGAGGGAGCAGGCCTTAATTTCCCCTTTCTCCGCCCCCAAGTCCCTTTAGTCAGTGTATCGTTTTCTGATTGGTCCGCGCCATGCAGTCTGTCATCAGTCACTGGGCTTGCAAGCAGGGTACGGAGGCGTGGGCTCCTTTTGGCAAGCTATTTGCGGACCAAGAAGTGAATTCTCGCTGAATCCCAGGGCTCTGAGTCCGTGCCATCTTTGGAGGCCTCCTACTACAGACATTTCCCTCCACACCCTTCCCTGTCATTGAGACTCACAACACACATCTAAGTCTTCTAAGAATTTTGTGGTTGTATGTGTGTGAACTGTTTTTTTGTGTGTGGGTTCACACACACATGAAGGCCAGAAGTTGAGGTCAGTTGTCTTCTTCTGTTGCTCTCCACTTTATTTTTGAGATGAGGGTCTTTGAGTGAAACCTAGAGTGCATTTATTCAGCAAGACAGCCTGGCCAGCAAACCCAGAGAATTCTGCCTTTCCAGAGCTAGGGTTACAGGTACAAGCCATAACATCTAACCTTTTCTGGGGATGTGAACTTAGGTCCTCATGCTTACAAGGCAAGGACTTTACAGATTGAGCCATCTCCCCAGGAACCTCTTCCAAGAATTTCCCAGGTAAAGATTTCCATTTACCTTTAACCCATCAGTCCCTAGTCACTTTTTAGCACAGGTCATTTTCAAAGCATATGTACCACTAGTGAAACGGAGCTAAGAAATACAGGTAAGAAAAGTGTTTATAATTTAATATTAAACATAAAATGCCACACTTAAAGAAAAAGTCAGTAGACAATATGGTACCAAAAGGCATACTTTATTAAGCTTCCTAGTAAGTTTGGGAACATGTGCTGCTAAAATGCAAGTTACAATTCAAATGATACCATGGACAGTTAGGATATACATCAAGCATTTTCAGAGAGCAGCTTCCGTATCTTGATCACTAAATGGAAAGGTTCTTCAGAACAGTCCCTTACCCTATATACAGAAGAAGAGAAAGTAAGGATGCCACAATGATAGCTCAAAGTCACCAGAAAACAGTTTACAGTCAGTTTTGTGTATAGCATTGACATGTAAAAAGTACAAATGAATTTGCAGTGAATATCTATCTAGGATATTCCATGTATGAGAATAAATTCACGGTGAATATACACTGGCCCTAAAACACTACTAAGAAATGTACTTATAGAGTCCAATTGCTAATGGTGCCATAAGAAGGAAATTACATGTTTCACTACACAATCTCATCTTCAAAAATTAAAAGGTCAATCTCTAAACGTTTAGCCTAGATTTTAATATAGGTTTAATTCCCTTGTTTTTCTTCGGAGTTGATGTTTACCTCTTCGGCTAGGGTAGAACAGGAAGAATACAAATCTAGGCCAAACTGTGACCCTAATATTTCACTAGCTCTACTATACAGTATGCACTCTAAAAATGTCCTGAGTATTTACTTTTGTTAGGAAAAAAGTGGTCATTACAATGGCAAGATAAAAATCACATTATTTTTATGTTTAAACATAAGAGAGCTGAGAAAAGTAGAGCAAAGCCTCTGGGGGTAAAGACACAGGACACTATTGGGCATCAGAGCTTAAGAGCAAACAGTGCTGGGAACACTGGGAGGAAGATGCTCTTCCTGTTCAGACCTCAAAACTCCCTCAATTCTGATGGTTCCAGCAACAGTCTGCCAAGAGCCCTACCATCTAGGAGGGATGCTTTCTGGCTGTCCATTCATCTAACCCTAGGAAAGCTCTCACCTCTTTGAGAGCTATGAGTAGAGATTTTTGTGAACCCATAAGACTGACAATCACTTGATATAATTTTTGCCATAAAGTGTTATTCAGAAACAGGAGTATAAGGTAAGGATCATTCACTAAATGACCTTAATCTAACCAAGGTTCTAAAGAACTCCAAAGTTAGGACTCAGTGAAATTACAAAGTCAAAAAGAACAAAGTTCATAGAATTCTTTAAAGCAGGTCACTGAGAGCCAAGTTTTAAAAATCTACAATATCACCTTTCTCATTTCCCAGAAAAAAAAAAAACTGACAGCGGTCTGATTAGTAACTATTTTAAGACCATGCCATTAAAAGCCAGGCTGCTAAAAAACAAACTGAAGAATAGCCACTAAAGGAGTTTAATAGTATTCTGAAAATTCCAGGCTATTCCTCTGCATTTGTCTGAAGCTGTGTTTAAAAAAAACAAACACACACACAAACCGCCCCCCCCGAAAACAACAAACAGGGTCTCAACCTAGGCTCCTGAACTCGTGATCCTTCCTATGTCCCTCTCCCCAATGTTGAGATTATAGGTGTGTGCCACCACCCAAACTTGCAGAGGATTTTCAAGGGTATGCTACCTTGGTAGCTGCAATTTTCCTAGTCGCTGGTAGGATCCAATTTTAACAACCATGTGTTATGTGGGCTCTCACCACCCAAGGGCCTTTTACATGGCTAAATCTGACCACAATTTGGATTTCAGAGGAGAGCAGGGGTGGAGCTGCAGGAAGTATGATAAACGAGCACTGTACAGATGAGCACAACAGCAGTACTACTCTAAATACCCAACAGCAATGACACCCAAACCACAATGCTAGAAACTCAAATCAGACACAAACTAAATGGAGAACTGTTAAAATCTTTTATAGGACAGAAACCTTAGCTCATGTCTTCTGGCTGTCATCATCTTCCACTGAGCTGCACCTAAAACACAAAGAACAAGTAACAAGCAACTTTGTTTTTTAAGGAATAGGCAACAGTTTTGAAGGCATAAGATGAACTGTCTCTAGAGGGTTAACTTTAAATAATTTTATAAAATGAGGCCATGAAAATCACCAGAAGCATCAAAACATTAACTATTAAGTGAAAACAACTACGAAAGACTTGAATATGCAGCATATTGTCAGCAAAATAAATCATGGTGGGAAAGTCACTGTCCATGTCGCTAAGGTGGAAGCTGTGCTGTGATGCCTTATTTAAAAGGCTTCACTCTACCTGCAGATGGAATCACCTTGGGTTTATTTTAGTAAGTTTAGACCATGAAGAGACGGGGTGTAGGTTCATAGGTGGCTTATTATATCATCTATCACCTTCCTGGCTGTGTAGTTCATTTCATGTCTTTAAATGGAGCAAAACCCACCAGGAGAATGCTGCTATTCTGATTTTCCATTCTTGAATGCACCAAAATGTGCATGCTTGTTGTAATTAGGTGCCTGGGTGAATAAAAAAATCCCATTTACAATTTAAAAATATTACTTAAACCTCAAAATTTGATTGTTTTCCATAGTCCTCAGGGAGATAAGCATTAATTTTATCCACCCCCCAACCAGAAAACGTTACACAGACTTTTGAAAATTCTCCTCTACCATGTTAAAAATACAAATTCCCTTTGTGTTGCAAAACCAAGCTGATTTACATGATTTTGTTTTAAATTGTTGCTAAATGTTTATCTACACATGCTGTCAGAAATAACCTTGTTAAGAAGGTGAAGCTGGTGTCTCAGCAAATCAGACCCCTTGGAGAAGGCGTCGGATGGCCTGTGCCCCGTTTTCCTTTTTCTCTTTCCGCACCATCAAAAGGAAAAGTGAGAAAATAGCAGAAACATTAGTTAAATCCCGAATTACACCCCATAACCTACAGGAATAACCTCACTACACTGAAAGCTGACTAATCTGTAGGACTTTTTCTGGATGAAATAATTAGGACCCTAATTATTAATTAACGAAAAACAACTGGGCTAGATTTAAATCTTTAGCAGATTAATACTTTTGGTTGCTTTTAGGAGAAAAACAAAGGCTGTTTTTAGCTATTTAGTTACCTGGCTTACCAGCACTGAAGACAAAAACTTTTAAAAATGGCTACAAATGCCTTGTTCACAAAAGACTTTATTATCTAGTGATGCATACTGAGAACATACAGACATCTGCACGGCCCACTTCCCATGCAGTAGCACAATCTTCACTTTACAATAAGTGAGTGTCAACTGTTTATGTAATAGACAACGCTTTAAAGTCACATTTTTAAAGAAAAGCTTCATTTACAAAAGAAATAAAAGGTAAAGAAGCAATTACCGCTTTTAAAAAGCAGCTGCTTTGTTCAAGAGTGGAAGGTTTATGCCTGTATTGAAAGACAACATGATCACAAATAATGCAAACAATGAACAAATGAAAACACTTTTTACCATAAAGCAGTACACTTTCAAAATGACATACAAATAGTTAAAAATTTCATTATGTTGTCTATTGTTTTTAAATATGAGGACTTTCAGAAGTAGGCCTCAACATCTGTAATTAGTAAATGAAAACTACGCGTTGTTTCTATGTCACTAGGAACTGTATTTAACAAAATGTATATAAAGTCTATAGCAAGTTGATTTTTAAAAAAGTAAAGTTATTAAGAAACAGTACACTGAAGGCGCTCTATCCATCAAGCGCATACTCTTCAAATTTTAAATGTGATGAACAGAACAGAAACTGTAACTATGCCACAGTTGCGATGCCAAAAAATAAAACAAGATCAGTTATCACACATGCAGGGAATTCTGCCACAAAGCTAATTATCCCTCATTTGTCAATTATTCCAATAAAATAACATCTTAAAACACTGTGATGTTGATGTTTAGCTTACCTTCAGTGTACTGAATGTTGTACACAACCTGCTTTAAAAGAGGAGACATCCCTGCAGGCAGGCTCAAGAAGGAACAGACCCCTTCGGCACTGACTACACCAAGGGCATGCTGCTGTGGCCTGCACACACACACCTAGGAAAATGTGAATATAAACAGCATTTATGCTGGCCATTGTATCTGAAGACCAAAATGAAGCCAAGTCTGCTAAAAACAAATCAACCACCCAGCACTGCTAATTATAACAGATGCTTCTGTCTCTTTTATGTGAACTGCAACCATATACATTAGCACTGTAATTTTGTGCAGTCTTGGCAATTAAAACAGTTCTACAGTGAAATTTCACATAAGACACAAAACAGATTAACTAACATTTCTAAAAGAAATATCACCCTTGGTGTTAATTCAAATATATCATGCTTCCTCAAATTTGCTGGAGAAATATTTATAAGTTTATATACATTAATAATAAACTGCTGTGAAATTTCTTCAGTCTTTGTATTTAATTACTCAAACCCTTGGAGTTTCTTCATCTCGTTTAAATTTTTTCCTGGATGAATGCATGCTGTAGGGCCTGGTTGATGCTAATTCGTTTAGCTGGGTCCAACATTAGGATCTGGTCCAACAAGTCCTTTAGCTGGTGTACTTTTTTACGTTGGTCTTCAGGAAGTCGCTGGCACCCAATCAAGTCAGCCAACAGGTCCTTAGTTGGATTAATGGTGCTCATGACAGTAACTTTCTCCTAAAAATAATTTTTACAATGCATATCTCTAAATAAGTTACATGTATGTCAACTTAAATCAGACTGTTTTTGGTCTATGAAAATACTAATATACACACAAGTATTTATATAAATCATGATTAATTTACTGTTCTGACATTTTTATTTGCCTTTGCCCTCTACATCTTTCCAAAGGTCGGGAAATGTAAATGGAAAAGGCTCCCAACTTAGCCATTAAAACACAGAAAGCATGTGCTGTCTGCACTGTCCTTTCCCTACCATACCCTCTAGTCTAAGAGATACACATGGAAACCAGTCTGTACAACAGAATGTCACTCAGCTCTCATAACAAAGGGCACAATACTGTGGATCAAAAATTAGGAAATTATTACATCACCCTGTAGGCTTTAGAAAAGCTGGTACGGAATGTGTATTTCAGCTGACGCCTGAATAGCATGTCTGACAGCAAAAGCACCAGTGTCTGTGGGAACAAGTGCACCTAAGTACTACCACTACACAAACATCACAGTAGAGAAACATTTTAATCCCTTTGCTGTTTTCACAGCCTGATGTACTGTATTCGGGTAACAAAAAGGAGTTACTTATGAAAAATAATAATAATCGTAGCTCCGTGTACCACACCAAACTCTAGTGATTAAGTAAAGAATCCAGAATTAGGGATTTAGCTTGGTGGTGGAGCACTTACCTAGTAAGTGCAAAGCCCTGATCTCAGTCCCCAGCATTGAAAACACAAAACAATAATAAAGCATTTAATACAGTATGCTTTAAGTCAGACTTACCCTCTCTGTTACTTTATCAACTTCTATGTACATGAAGTTGAGATTTTGATCAAAATGTTGGTCTTTGAATACACCTTTCCGAATCATCTACAACACAAAAAAAATTGGGTTTCAAACCACGACAAGCAGGCTGACACACTACTAATATGACTCACAAAGAAATGAATAATTGTGTTATTCTTTGGGCCCAGATACCCTTGTTCTCAGGACCTTATTAAATTAACATCGTTAGAAAAGCTAAGGACTTCAGTCGGGTTCTTACAAAACTCAGTGCTCACCTACCTTTTCATCCTCTGATCACTGGAACTTCTTTATATTCTAACTAACCTTGTTAACAAGGATGTATGTACTTCTACTTTACCTGTTACCAAAAAAGTAGTTCTCTTATTGTTTCTGTTTTGGGTTTGAGAGAACATGTAGCTAGCCCTGGCTAGCCTGGAACTTGCTATGTAGATCAGGTTGCCCTCAAACTCAAAGCTCCCCCTGCCTCTGCCTGTGCCTCCAGAGTGCTGGGATTAAAGGTCACCATACCTGGCTTTCTTAAAAAAAAACAACAAGATTTGTTTATCTTACATGTATGTTCCTGAGTGTAAGTATACTGAGCCTGCAGAGGTGAGAAGGCGGCATTGGAATGTCTAGTACTGAAGGCATAGGCAGCTGTTAAGATACACAATGTGTGGGAATGGAAACCAGATCATCTGTAAGAGCAGCAAGTGCTCTTAATGACTGAGCCATCTCAACAGCCCCTTGTACTGCTTCTTTTAGTGGCTATTGGCTGATTAGAACCACTAATTTTAACACCAAAAATAGCAAAGGAACTAAGGAATCATGGTACCCACCTACCTACCCCCCTGAAAGCTTTGTTTGACTACTATGGTCTAGGTGAAAAGGTATCTCACAGTCTATCACTCTACAGGAAGGAACTTAAAAAAGCTTCTATTAATACCTTACCTTATTTGGCATCTTTCCTTTGAGATCCATAGCAAGCTTCAACATATGGTTATTGGTTTTGCCAGGAAATAAGATTTTTCCAGTATAGAGTTCATATAATGTGCATCCTACAGACCACATATCTATACCGTAGTCATAGCTTTTACCTATAACTGAAAACAAAATGGAGGTTTTAATACATGAGGGTAAGAACGAGTGACTTCTTAATTTTTATTTCCTTTAAGGGGACTACCTCAGCTTAGACTATAACCACAACCGTATCTCAGTTTCATGTTCTTTCCCACTAATTCTTAAGAGATGCTTAAAAATAAGAGTAACTTTAAAAACGGGGATGTAGGAGAGGAACTAAAGGGGCAAAAAGTAAATACAGATGACTTCTCTTTTTCATTTCACCTTTGGTGGAGGTGCTAATCAACCTCAACCCAGGCAACAAGAAGAGAAAAACCAAAGGTCCCATACAATCCATAAATGTGATAATCAGACCTTGAATAATCAAGAGCAGTCTTCTAAAGTCGAGGATTTTCCACAACTGTTTTGCTACTCATGCTCGATATGATCAAGACTCCTGTCACAACTACCTTCATTCCACCTGAGGAGGATGAACTTGCTACGGTTCCCTTCCTCATGAATGAACTCGTGCAGCTGCTGAAGTGTGATGGAAAACAGTGCTTAGACATTACAGAAGCTGCTTCCACCGCACAGGATGGCCCAGGTAAGGAACACTGTAAGGAACTTACTGATTTCAGGAGCACGGTAAAATCTACTGACAAGATAAGGTGTTATGTCATTATCCGCAACATGGGAAGCCGACCCAAAATCGCAAAGCTTTAAAATGGTTTTTGATTCATTAACCTGCAAAACATTTTGAGGAAATTTAATTCATGCCAGGAATAATTACACAAATTAAAACAGTCTTAAAGAATTTGTACTAGTTACAACACTGAGAACAAAAGCCACTGGTCTAAAAATCCCTTTTCTTTCCATTTCACAGCTCCACTTCCTAATTATGAAAAAGAGCTCTTTAATATCTTGTTACAACCAGAAAGACTTTGTCAATGAGGAAACATGGGCTATACCAAGTACATTTAATTTTACTAAACTGCATTTAAAACAGAGGCAAAGCATCTTCTACCATTCCCTTGAAAAGCTATAGTCAGGTTACTCTCAAGGAGCATGAAAATATTAATAGAGGACCAGACTTCAGTCAGCTTTCACTTGCTAGAAAATTATAATGGCAACAAATACAAAAGGAAGACACTGAGTCTGGACAGAAAACAGAAACAAAACGATTTGTCTAACCGGTTTAGAGCATCAAAAACTTAGCAATCACTTCAAGTATAAAAAATATTAAACCCCTTCAGTACAAAGTATTAGTCAAGAAAACATTAAACATATCTGACAAAACTGATAAACATGAACTCTGTATTAGTCATCTGTTCGTGTTTCCTCCGTAAATACTTCCACATACACAGTGACAGTGACATCTGCTGAGAAAGGCTGGAGCTGCTCCCATGACTGCTGCCACTCATGAGTCAGAAGCATGTTCAGGATTAACAAGTGAAGATAATTCATATTCCAGAGTCCCTTCCCCCCTTCAAAAGAGACACACACAAATTCCGAGTTGGGACTTGAACTTGTCCTACTATTCCCACCCCAAAGAAATATAACAGTTTAAACAGCTCTAGGCAGTCTCTAGGGGGGCAGCAAGTGTGATCAGTATTATAGATAGGACTATCACCAATGGAATATACAGAAAGAATTAAGCTATAACAGTTTTTTGGCTTTTTTTATTTTTTGAGACAGGATCTCACTATGTTGCCCTGGTTGGCTTCAAATTCAGAGTTCAAGTGCCTCTGCCTCTGGAGTGCTGGGATTAAAGGCATGCGCTACCATATCCCACCAAACAGAAACCATTTTAAACTGCCACATCAGTGTCCATTTTATTTATTTTGGGGATCAAAAATAAACTCAAAATGGTAAATAATTTTAAAGCTAAAAAAAAAGCCGAATTCGGTTGCAATACCCAGAAAAGACAAAGAACCATGTACCAATGGAATTCTTGATTTGGCTAAATCACATTAGATAGTACTAGCAGGGTACCCACACTCACACGCACATTACTGTGGGTGTAAAAACTGCAGTAAAAACTATAAAGTTGGGGGCCAGAGAGATGGCTCAGCAGTTAAGAGTACTGGCTGCTCTTGCAGAGGACCTGGGTTTGATTCCCAGCACCCACATGGTGGCTCACAACCATCTATCACTCCAGTTCCAGGGGATCTGACACTCTCTTCTGACTTCTGCAAACACTGCATGACACAGATGCACTTACACACAGACAATACACTCACACACATTAAAAAAAAAAACCAAAAAAACAACAAACTATAAAGTTGGTTGGCTATGCAATTCCCTGTTTTTACTACATGCCTACCATTTCACTGTAACTGCTCAGCAGTCCTACCTCCAAGTTATATTAGATACATAATACAAACCCAAACTTCATTATTAATGTAATAATCTGAAATAAATTTTTTTAAGATAAATGGGGGGAGCTTCCTCAGTGGGTAAAGTGCTTGCTCTGCAAGCATGGGAGCCTGAGTTCAGATCCCAAGCACCCACATAAAAAGATAGGAGTGGCACCGTGTGCTTGTAATGTCAGGGCTGAGAAGGAGTTGACAGGATACTCCCAGAAGCTCACCGACGAGTCAGGTACCTAATGGATGAGCTCTAGGTTCAGTGAGAGACTCTGTCTCAAAAACCAAGGTGGAAAGCAACTGAGACAGTCTAATGCCAGCTTCTGGCCTCCATGTGCCCACACATGGGAATATGGCCCCCTCACGCACCCATGTACATATTCATAACCCCCCCCCCACACACATACATGAGAAATGTAAACTAGCTTAAAGACTGCAATATTTTTATGTGTAGTACTGGAGACTGAACTCAGCACCTCATGCATGCTAGGTACACACTGTACCACTGAGCTACATTCCCTGCCCAGTCACAATCTTAAGAATTTTAGTTTGTCATAGCTGAAACATGAGTTCCCAGTAAAGAACACCTTACACACTTGGCTTCTCCTGAGGATATTTCTGGAGCATTACCCCAGAACTGTTAAAAAGCAAGCATTAAAAAAAAAGAGAAGACATGCAGAACATACTGCTGGCGGATGATCAAGCAACTCAAGCTGTGAATATGCCTCAAACGGTGACTACCATAGCACAGATGAAGGAATGAGGCCAAGGAAGGGAGGAATGTGCTGATGCACTAATACAACTATGATGTGATATGTCTCCAAATTCCAAAAGCATTACAAACATTGTAAAATTGGGGTTTTATTATATACTCGAAGTCACTAAGAAGAGAGGGCAAGACTCCAAAAGGAATGACTTTCAATTCAACACCAGCCACAACTGAGTCTTAATGCTTTGGATTCCCAGAACCCACAGCTTCAAAAGCAATAAAAAATAAAAGAGCGGAACTCAGTGTGGTGGTATATGCTAGTAATTTCAGCACGGGATTTGGGAGGCTCAGGCAGGAAAAATTTTGAGTTTGGGGCCATTGTAGGCTAAAAGCAAGACCATATCTCAAAAAGCCAAACCAAACCAAATGAGCACTTTTAAAACTGAACTCCACATAGTTCCTCAATAGAGAAAATTCCTTAAATATCTGAAGATCCAAGAACATTTCAACATAGCAACATTATACATGTATTTTTGCCTATACTATGAATCCATCAATCAAAAATTTTTAAAGCGACAACAATCCATTTCTTTCCTATCACTATAAAATTCATGGACTTAATGTTTTTAAAAGATAGAAATTGGTGAAGTAACTCATGAGTTAGCAATGTACTAAATTATACTTTAAGATGTTATTTTGTAGTACAGTAATAATCCTAATTACTAGTACAAAGAGATAGGGACACACACACAGGGTGGCCTGACTGTTTGACTTACCAAAATATTGTCTGGTTTGATATCTGCATGCAGGATATTGCATCTTTTCAGGAGTTTCAATGCCAGGAACAACTGCTGACTATAGGATCTTACAGCTTTAATATGAAGACCAACATCCTTACCGTATTTTTTTAAAACCTCTCGTAAATTCATACTTTTAGGAGAGAGAAAAAAATAGGGGTCAAAATATAGATATAAAAGGCAAGGATTTTCAAGTACCATGCAAAATCAAGTGCAAGATAACAATTTACATAAAAATATTGTTTGAGAATCCTTATCCCAATGCTTGAGAAATTATTTTACATTGAAATGAGAGCCTAACAACAGTGCATATGCAATATAGCTTCCAAAATAAATAGAAAGGAAGAGATAATGCTCAATTCCCAAATAAACAGAAAGGAAGAGATGCATGGGAAAGCTCCTACTTCATTTCGAATAGGTTCACATCTGAAAGCACAACACTGCAGCCATACTGTTAAACGATAAAACTTGCATCTCTACACCACCACTCCCACCTCTTCCCATAGTGATTCTGCTGCCCTGCAGGCTACCTGAGATCACTGTCTGGCACATGTATACAAGTCAATTAATGTTTTACACAGTAATTGCTAAGGAAATAATATAGTTAAAAATCAATAGAAAAAAAAGCATGTCAGAATTTACCCAAAATGAGGTTGGCAGATATAAAGAAGGTTTTAATACTCTACCTGAGAGGCTCAAACACAAGACAGAGATGTTGCTTGTGATAAAAATGTCTGAAGAGTCGCAAGCAATGAAACTTGTCATCAGGATCAGCATCATTAAGTTTTTTCAAGAACTCTAATTCTTTTAAACCAGTCTTTTGCCTGTAATGAGGGGAAAAAAAAAAGAGGAAACAAACATATGCAGAATCTAGGGCCAACACCTGCTAGACTCAGTCTGATATGCCATAGGCACGAAGTCTAAGTAAATGCTCTTTTCTAAAAAAAAATTTTTTTAATTTGATAATGATTTATTTGGGGTATGTGTTTCTATATGGGTACTTTATGCCATGATGTGCATGTGGAAGTCAGAGTCTAACATGTGGGATCTGGGGCTGGAATTCAGATTGTCAGGGGTAAGCAAGTACCTTCACTTGCTTAGTCATCTCACCATACCCCCATCTCCTTTTTTGGAGACAAGTCATGCTATGTAGCCCAGGCTACCCTGAATTCATGATTCTTCTCTCAAATGCTGGGTTATATAAGGAGTCACAAGGTCTGCGTAGTTAACGTGCTTTAAAATCCCTAGTCTATTTACTGAGGAATAAGTCTACATCATTCACATCATAGTTTATACTTATCAAATAGGTCTAGAGAGTTAATTTCCCAAATAATCAATGAATAAACAGAAAAATCATAAACAACATTATTTAAGGACAATTAATCTTATACACTTTATCTCAATGTCTTTTTTAAGAATGCAATTAAATGGGCATGTCTAAGTACTATTTTACTAATATTTAATAGTTATGAAAATCTGGTAACTTGTTAAAAGTACATTTTAAAAGTGAACTTACAGCACAGAAGATTGGATTTCCTAACCAAACAATCTAAGCTTAGGACAATGAAAAACCAGTAAAAAATCTGTAATACTGCTAACATTTCAAAACCAATGATAAATTGGCTCTATCACCAGCTCAGTATGTGGTACAGATTAAAACATATGGGCATGGCAATGGCCTATGCTATGAAAGGAGAGAGGCTGAGAGTCAAAAGATACAAAGAATTCGCACCAGTAGCTGAGTATCGTATGTTCAGAGTGTTAAGATTTTTTTTACAGCAGATCACATAAAAAAAAAAAGTTAAAAAACAGAAGCGAAAACAAAAACATGGCAGCTAACAACTGTCCATAATGCCAGTTCCAGCGGATCCGACAGTCTCTTCTGTCCTCTGTGGGCACTGCACGATATGGGTGCACATGCAGGCAATACACACATACATATAAAATAAAAAATAAAATATTTTTAAAGATTTTTACAGTGTAAGATGGCATTAGATGGTACTAAAGGAAAAGATCTAAGTATGTATTAGCACACAGAATAGATGCTGAAATGAATGGAACACTATTCAACGTATGGTTCTAGAACTGCACACATAACATACGATTATAAATAAGATTTTTGTCGTTTGGTTCTGAACTTACATGAGCTCATTGTTTCTGATGATCTTCACAGCTACTTCCTGATTGGCTCTTGCATTATCTCTGGCTCGTACAACATTACTGAACACACCCTGCCCAGTGTAGCCATATACATTGTAACGTTTATCTAGGACTTCACCTATATTCACACCTAAAAAAAAGCAAATTAAAAAATTAGAAGTCTGATTATCATAAACAGAACCAGTAAGTAAGGGAAAAAGCTGGGTCCAATGCCCACTTTTCCTGTACACAATGGAGAATCAGCCATGTCTCCACTGGTCATCCTTTTAGCATGTGATAGAAGCCTCCTGCCCATTCCAGACAACTGTCAAAGTTCTTGTGTGTCGATCCAGTGCTAGCAATGTCGATACTGAGCAGGGAACAAATGCGCTCATTAAAGTGTTTTCTTTTTTCTTTAAAAAAATTTTTTCTTTACATTTTATGTGCATGATTACTATGCCTGCACATGTGTAAGTTCACCTATGTTGGGCAATGCCCACAGAGGACAGAAGAGGGCACTGGATCTCCTGGAACTGGAGTTACAGTTGTTAGCAGACATTTGGGTGCTGGGATGTGAATCCAGTCTTCTGCAAGAGCAGCCAGTGCTCTTAACCACTGAGTCATCTCTCTAGTCCCTCATTAAAGTGTTTTCAATTGTAGTCCTACATGAGACTGGCACCCTCACCTCCTTGCTTCTCTTGGTTTATATCAAGCTATATACCCTTTCTTCTGGAGGATGCACTTGCAGTTGAAAATAGAATTAGGCTCACTTTAATGTGTGAGGCTTCTGGACTGCTGTTTACTCAGATATAACAAAAATCCATGCCATGACTGGATATGCCACATTCAGTCTACTCAGCGTTCAGCAACATGTAATTATATTAAGCAATCTTTATTTATAAAGTTGCACAGTGCATTCAAAAGTTAATGAGAAATGCAAACTTACGGTAATAGCCTTCTGCATCAGTCCAGTTATCTCTGAGGTTAGGATTTTCTTTGAAATCTTTCCCGATGCCAGCAGCCCTAAGACGAGCACTCTGAAAAGAAGGAGGTGGCAAGAGTGGATTACGAGCTGACTGCCCACTTAAAGCATCTCCTTGATAAAAAATAAAAAGGGCCACACTAGCATCTTAAAAGTTAATGATTACTATTGTTTGGGTAAACTCAAGGTAGTCAAACTACAATGAACAAAGTGTCTTAAATCATAAGAACAAGGAAAATATTTATCAAGAAGCTTTTGGGTATGGTTAGGGTACTACAAGTGAAAATAGGGATTCAACATCAGATCTGGGTTTCTTTAGCTGACAGACTTGGAAGAAACCCTTACAGATTGGTACTGTGCTAACACGCACTGTCCAACTCCTGCCCACTGATATTCACCATTTCTTCCCCTGCCTCCTTGACCAAGCAGACAAAATTATACTCTTCCCATATAGGCATAAATAGTAGTGAGATTCATAGGCTGAGCCTATGTGGAAAATTTAAATGAGAAAATCTACCTCATACTTGTAGGGAAGAACCTTTGCTCCCTGTTATCTCCATGACACCCAGAAGGTTCTGCAAGACTGCTAAGCTTAGATAGGAATGTTCACCCTTAAAGATCTGTGTGATAAAGCCTTGGTCCTCAGGCCAGCCGCTACTGGGAGGTGGTGGAATCTTAAAGATGTAGCACCTAGTATAACATTCAAAGGGGACTGTGGGACCCAAGATCCTTTTCCTTTTTTCCCTTTCCTGATTATTAGGTGAGCAATTTTACCCTAGTACCTCCTCCAGCCATGATGTACTTACTGCCTAACCATGGACTCAAAGAGGGCCAACTAAGTGATCATGGACTTTAACTTTCAGAACTGAATCCAAATAACCTTTTTTCTTTTTAAGTTGATTATCTCAGTATTTCATTACAGTGAAAGGAAGTGAACACAAATATTACCTAGGCAAATGACAGGACCAACATTTCAACAGACATACTGTTCATTCATCTTCTCAGAACCCATCAACTTTTGGTGTACCTGTTATGGTCCATGTGACATATCACAGATTACTTGAACCAATCACTATGTCTTCAGGGTCTCATACAGTTTATTCTACCTCATTTTAATTTTCTCTATTACATTTATACTCCCTGGTTCTTCTTATCAAGGCCCCATTTTCTCATGCTTTTAAATATATATATATATATATTTTAAAATGGCCTCATAGTTTCAGATGTGTTTGTAGTAAAGACTTTCAATAAAAGGTGTTGATAAAGCATTCCAGCAAAACAAATCTAAGTGATTAAGGGTTACTTAATCCATTCCTTATAACATTTCCACCTATTCAATGACTACTGCCATAAAGCTCCACATCCTCAAGTACTCAACGGCCTACAATACAAAAGCAGACTATTCCAAGAAAGGCCTAGAAAATACTGACATCTTATGTTATCTAACTAACACACATCTATTTTCCTGTTCATATGTTGAGGTAGGTACATACATGAACGTAAGTAAACTATACATTTAGGCCACTTGGTGTGTGTCTTTTGTGAAGCTCTCCCAATTCTTTACTTGCACTTGTTTTAAATTTAAATATAATTTTAGACTTGAAAGGTATAAAACTAGTACACTGACTTTCTTAACATTATTAGTTCTTATATTATTAGCTCTCTGTAACTACACTTACAGAGCACCAGTTACACACAGTTCCCTGTTTATCTGTTAGTTTAAGATTACTTACGTCAAAATAAGCAGCAAACATATCATCAGATTCTGTAAACATATCAGGTGCCAAAAGCTTCTTTTGGGATGAACCTTAAAGGAAATTTGCATTAATATTTGAGAAATGAAGATAGAAATGAAAACATAAGTCAACAAAAAAGTTGGTAGTTATTAACCAAGCTTCTTTTCCTTCTTCCATGTCAGCTTTCAACCAATAATCAATTTAGAAGCAATCTATTACATTTTATATAAAACTTCACTTCTCACCAAAAAGCAAACTTCAGAAAGACTAACAACTTTTGCCACTCTTAGTTTAAATGAGTAAGAATATGGCTGAATAATAATTTTGGAATAAAATTAAAGTTGTGTTTTAAGAAACTTAATTTAAAAACCTCAAATGGTTAATTTTCCTACTATGGACAGATATAAGTCAGCATCATCTATATATAATTTTCCCCTATATCTAATCATTTCATAGAAGGTTGGACAAAAAATAGACACAGGACACACAATGGCTTTCACATTGACACAGACCCAATCTCATAGTGCAGGAAATACAAACTAAAACTACAAATTATATACCACTGCTCATCAAAGACACTGCCTAAAAATCCAAAAGTAAGACAAAGCTATTTTAACAAGACCTCGGACAAAAAAGTTACTCAGACACGATTTATGGGACAAGACTGTAACTCTTGAAAGAAGAGAATTTGGCACCATACAGTAAGAGTGGACATTCATTCACTCTTCTGACCCAGTAATCCCAAGTCTAGGGAATTACCCGAAAACAACGTCCTGCTAATAATGATGGAACGTGCAGTACTATTAAATTAACATTCAGTGGATAGTCACCACACATAATCCATTTATCTGCTGTCAGGTGACTGAACATAGACTACACAAATAAATGAGGAACATCAAACTGACTGGCATTCCAGAAAGCTTTTTTGCATGTGCAGATTGAAATAATACCAAGATTATATTAATAAACAGACAATTTTTAAGAATCAAAAGAAAACAGAAGAGCTGGAAGTGTTGGCACATTCCAATAATCCTAGCACTCAAAGGAGGTAGAAGCAAGAAGATTCCAAGTTTGGGCCAGTTTGTGTGTCTTCAGGACAAAAAGAATCAATGAAATCTCAAGTTGCATCTAGTTTATTAATAAAGATAAATTAGACTAATATCTTAATGTATATAAAGCTTGAATATAAGAACCTAATTGTATTATTAGAAACTAAATAATCGAAATCACTGAAAGGGAACACACTACTTGATCCTTGATAGAAGTTTGAAGGCCTCTAGCAACCTTTAAACACTAAAGTAGTTATCCGAAAAGATACTAGAAACCCACTTAACACCCCTTGACACACATACACACCCTGGTTGGAGAGAATATAGCCTGAGCTTTCAAAAGAAAACTGACAGCAATGGGTTGAAATATACTCAGCAGACAATGGCACCCAGGAAGCCATCAAACACAATTTCTAGTTTGCTCTGGAGCATTAGCTACACTCTATTTGAAAACATGACACTGAAATCCCAAATGAAAGAATGGGCCTAAGTAGTGACCATCAAGAATTGCTGAGGCAGTCCCAAAATAGCACGGGAAAGCACATAAGGTGGGCGTGGCTCAAATCCCAACACACTTCAATGTCAATAAAAACAGGTCCATATGCACATGATGCAATTCAAGGACAAAGCTCCACTTATGAAGAACCCCCAAAATGTAAGCCTGATTCAACTTGTCTCTAAAGCTAAGTACTGGGGCTAGAGAATAAATCACAAGAAGAGAACCAATTAAAAAATGGAGAACTTAGCAAATGGCGAGAGCAAAAAAAGAAAAAAAAAAAGAGAAAAAGAAATAGATATCTATGTTTATAAATGTCTGTATGTATATATAACAATAATAATCAAAGAGGACATGACATTGAGAGGGAGTCGAGGGGGGCATGGGAAGAATTGAAGGGGATTGGGGAGGGATGGAAATAACAAATACTCATGTATTAAATTCTCTAAAAGAATTATTAAAGATCAAGAGAAATTTAACAGACATAACCCAAATATACTGTGTGCATCCTATTTGGAATTTAATTCAAACAAAGCAGAAACATTGATAATAAAAAAAAAAGGTATGCATTTCTTAAGTATATATAATGTTCCTAAAAGTACTAGGAGGGGAAATGAAATTGTATCTGGTGGGCAGATAGGACATGTAACAGGGAATGTGAACTAACGAAAGCATTTATATGGGAGTCAAATTTTTTTTTTTTTTTTTTTTTTTTTGAGACAGGGTCTCCCTGTAGTCCCAGCTGACCTGAACTCACTATGTAGATCAGGCTGGCCTTGAACTCAAAATGATCTGCCTGCCTCTGCCTCCCAACTGCTAGGACTAAAGGCATGCGCCACAATGCCCGGCATGGGAGCCAATTTTAAAAAAACTTTATTTATTGTTTTTATTTTTTTATGTGTATACATATATTGCTTGCATGTAGGTAAGTCCACCCATGTGGTACAATGCCCATGGAGGACAGAAGATGCTGTTGGATCCCCTGGAACTGGAGTTATGGACAGTTGTTAGCTGCTATATGGGTGCTGGGATTCGAACCCAGGTCTTCTGCAAGAACGGTCAGTGTTCTTAATTGCTGAGCCATCTCTCTAGCCCCAACCAATTTTTATAAGCACACAGACCTGGGTTTGATCCCCATATAAAAAAGTCAGGCATTGTAGTGACATGCACTTGTAATCCCAGCACCTCGGTGACAAAGACAGGTGGATCCCTGGTGCTCACTGGCCAGTTAATCCAGTCTACTCAACGAGTTACAGGCCAGTGAGAGACCCTGACTCAAGAAGGGGTTTTGGGGGAGCTTACGGAATGATACCTGGAGTTGATCCTGGCCTCCACGTGTACCACCACCCCAACCACACACAGATATATATACACAAAAAATAAATTTAAAAAACACATTAACACAGGACACTCCTTAGGATACTTAATAGTCATGTAATTTTCAGTAGGTAAAATATTCTTTTTTCCCCTTCAAATCTACATGTCACATCATTATAAACTTATACAGCTAAAAATTCAGAGTAAAGCATGTTAGGACAACTCTCTCTCACCATTATTCTGTTCAACTGTCATTAGGTTATGCTTGGCTTTTACTGAGGCCTCAAACGTATCAACATTTTCCCGCTCATACTCTTTCACATCAGCAGCTACCCGCTCTAGGATGTCATCTGGAGAAGGAGACCGTGTCCTGGTACTGCTCTGGGGGCTGCTTGGCTCAGACGGCACTGATATATTGCTATCTTCAGCAAGATACTTGTATTTCTGAAATAACAATAAACAATTATATCATTTTCACAAAATTGGATGCTATCTGAATATATTACTTTGCTAAGAGTTGCTCCATTAGAGTGTTAAGAGCAAGTGTACATATAAAACAACAAAGGTACTAATACCTTTGCTGAACTGGATGCACAATTTTCAAGTAATTCCAAAACTCACAAAACTCTGAACAGTATTTCTACATTTTGTGCACATTTGTCAAGTCGTAAAACCTGACCTTACAAGGTAAGATTCTATTTATTTTTACTTATACCCTAGGATACTATTTGTGTATCTCATTTTAGAAATAATATGTTGATTACAAGAACTGCTGTAGACCCCTCTTTATGGCTCTAAGTGCCATGCACAGATGTACCACATTACTGTTCTAACATTCAAATTTTTCTAAGTTCTAAAGTCCATGTAGCATGGGTTGGTGATAGGGGATTGTGGACCTAGCCAAGAACAAAAAAGATCCAACCAAGTTTTCAGGGGTATCAGTTCAAAAAATTTTTTTTGCCAGTGTCTCATAAAAAAATCTTTAGGACTGCCCTGCTTCCTCTGGCCTTACAGTTTGCTCAGTGTGCCAGGTGAGATGCCATGGATGGTCCTGTCTTTGTCCTTTGAGAAGGCATTTATGAGGATAGCCATTCCCAGCAGATCCATACCAGGCTATTGTCTCAGGACAGCCAAAAGGAAGCTGCTCCTTTAAGGTAGCAAAGCTCGTTCCGATGACTGCCAGGGCCTGTGCTCAAGCTCTAGCTCTTCCTTCATTTCTCAACTGTTTCATTTAAACTGCAACTGGGTGCTGGAAATATGGTGCTGGTAAGAAGCTAGGGGTTCCTGCCACTAAGCCTGATAATCTGCATTTCATCTGGGGAGCCCACATGGTACAGAGAACCAACTCCCATAAATTATTCTCAAACCTCCACATGAGTGCTGTGGTGCATGTTCATGAAACACATAAATAAACACATAAAAAAATTTAAACCACAATTACGATTATAAAATGTGCCATTATCTTATTAGACGCTAAAATGTTTTTCCACATAGTAAAGGACATGTTTTGCTAAATGAATTCCAATTTATCTGTTATTTATGTACTAGAATTTTCATGCTTGTTTAAAAAAAAAATACTTCAAATCCTCATGTCTTGCAAAAGATGTTTACATTAGAATTCTATGTATAACAAAACAAAAGGCAACGTGTCACTTTTAATAACTAAAGAATCTTTAAGTCTCACAAATTTTATATCTCATAATGATCTAGTCCAGCTTTCACTGGAGTACTTTGCTAAAGTTAAAATTTTTTATTTTAGTAAAACAGTGATCTGTGAGATTCACTATTTAAATTAAAAAACAGAAAAGTCATTGAAGCCATGTACCTGAACAATTGCCTGCCTTTGTATTCGTCTCTGTTCTATTAGAGCTTCTTCATCTTCTTCCTCCACATCAAAATCTTCAAGGCTTAAAAAAGAAGTATTTAAAACATTTTGCAGCCTCTAAAACTATAACTTAGTTAAAAATTAAGGTTAGAGCAATAGTCTTAAGCCATCACTAACTCCTACAATGCCTGTTAGTTATCTGGTGGAAGCCTAGCGACTGTACCTTCTCCTAACTCAGTTTCCTCCTCACCTAGTTCATGGCACCGCACCTGGAAACAAGAAAGATCTCAAAGTCCAAAAAAGTCACCACTGACTGGTGACCTTAGAAAGTTATTTCATCTTTCTGAGCTCAGTTTTTTCATGTATAAAACAAGACGGGTAGAACAGAACCATTTGAAAGCTCATGGAAGCTACTGATTTCTTCTACCAGTAAGGGACATGAAAGTAGGCTGTGGGGACTAGAGTCCACCCAGCAAAAAACGAAACGAAACAAAACAAAACAAAAAAATACACATGCAAACACCTGCCTCTGTTCTGAAGGGGAATATGACTCAATGCTCAACACTACCCACACTGTCTTCCACTTGATCCTCAAAGAAGACCTCTTCAATTCTTATGATCCCTCTTGGTGTACAATTGTCAGCCTTTTTCTTAATGTTTAAAATTTGCAGACACATAAGTAAGCCAAGTGCACTGCAAGTGTATCAATGTATCACTCTTCTCCTTCCCAGCTTCCTTATACTCATAAAACTAATCAGGGCTTCTACACCCAAGCACTGCTGATTTGGGGTGATACATTGTTTTATACGGGGATTAACCTGTGCATTGCAGGATCTAGTATCCTTAGCCTTCTGCCATCAGATGACAACCAAAGGTGCCTTCAGACACCACTGAAATGTCTCTATAGGAAGGGGAACAGCTCTGTTGAAAATCACTTAACTGTGTTAGCTTTACTTTCAAGATAATGCTTTTAGAAAAGTTTGCACTTTAAAGGTTTTCTAATACTTTAGAGAATTTTGTCATTGAAACACTTGTTTTAACATTTTAACAGATATACCAAATAGTCTCAACTGAAAAACATGCAACATTTAACAAAAATTGATAAATCTAAACTTTATATGGAAATTTCTTCCCCTAAATTCTAATAAAAATAAAAGATATAAAATGATAGCTCAATATTCAATCTAGACAAAGCACACACCCCTAAATTCAGAAAATCATTACCTATGACATAGACCTACCTAATAATCACAAAAGATTGAGTTTTAAATTCAAGACCAAATTACTGGGTTCACTTATGCCATTAGTTAGAAATTAAAGATTTCCAGTCTAACAGTTTTTTCTATACCAGAACCATGAAATAACAAGTTATATTCTTACTTATCATCAGATGAAGACTCTTGCTCAACTTTCATTCCTTCAGAGAGACTCCCTTTAAATTTATCTTCCTTTACTTTGCTTCTGCTTCTTCGTCTACGACCACCTCGTGATCGAGACCTTCTTCTCAAGCGTGATCTGCTTCTCCGACCTCTATCTCTATTTGAGAAAAAAAGGACATTATAACATATATAACTGAAATCTCTCTCTCTCTCTCTCTCTCTATATATATATATATACATATATATATATATAATTAAAATATCATTTAGAGTAATAAGCAAAGGGCTCAAAGCTCAATTTTACTGTGAATCCAAAATGTCTCTAAAAAGCACGCTACTAAAAAAAGGTAAGCCAGGCACAAGACTGAGGCAAGAGGATTGTGTATGATGGCAGACTGGCCTAAATAACAAGTATCAAAAGCCATTTTAAGTTCTAAATGAGATTATCTAGAAAGACTTAACAATCACCTTTACTAAAATAACTGAAATGGGCTTCAAGATGGATAGCATAGGAGGTAAGAACACTTAACTGCTCTTGATGGCTCAGTGGGTAAAGGTGCCTGGGTCAACCCTGACAGCCTGAGTTCTAATCCTAAAACCCACATCATGGTAGAAGGTGAAAACCAACTCCCTAGGTTTTCTTTGACCTTCCTCCATTTATGTGCATGCGACACACACACACACACACACACACACACACACACGCACACACACACCCCCAAAAGCTTTTAAAGACTTCAAAACATTCTTAAAAATGCATCAGACTTGTGGCCCATGTTAAACAAATGTCCTGATTCAAGGTAATTAAGGGTGAAATTTAAGTTAGTTCAGGGTGAAATTTAAGATACTACAGAGCTCCTAAAAGAGAAACCTATCTACATCAAAGGATTGGCAAGCTCCCTATTACTGTCACGAACTTGATCTTCTACCAATTAGCTCAAATTTTTTATTTATTTATTTTTTGTCTTTTGAGGCAGGGTCTTCCTATAGCCCCAGCTGGCCTGTAACTCCCTAAGTAGACCAGGCTGGCTTTGATCTTGCAGAGATCTGCCTGCCTCTACCTCCAGAATGCAGGGATTAAAGGCGTGTACCACCACATCTGGCTCTTTCTTTCTTTCTTTTTTTTTTTTTTTTAAATCACAGCAACATAAAAAAATAAATGCAACTAGGATGAGGAGAAGGAGAGAGCGAGAGCAAAAACG